GAGTTGAGCTAACAGCTAATCAGAGCTGAGCTAACAGCTCATCTAACTTGACACCATTTGAAACAACTCATAATCCAGCCTAATCTCTGCTACAGATTACCCACAATGCAGTGCAGATGACCCTTTGCGTGTTTGTTTGTTCAGATCTTTGGCATCCTGAAGGCCCCCTTTAAGGACCGAGGAGGCGGCGAGGGACCTCTGCTGTGTCTGGAGGAGCTGGCGGACCAGAAGAACGCTCCGTTCCAGTACATGCTGAGACTCTGCTACAGAGTCCTGAGACACTCGCAGGACGACTACCGCAAGAACCAGGTGAGGACGAAACGTCCGAGCTGAAGCCGAGACACAGAACCTGCGTCAAATAAATATTTTTATCACAAAGCACGAGTGAAGGAAAGCAGGCGAACATGTCAAAGGTTTTATTCCGTCCTGAGGGTCTTGCTGTTTGTAAAACCTCCGCCGGTCCTCCAGGAGCACATCGCCAAGCAGTTCGGCGTGATGCAGAGTCAGATCGGTTACGACATCCTGGCCGAAGACACGATCACCGCTCTGCTGCACAACAACCGCAAACTGCTGGAGAAGCACATCACCAAGACCGAGGTGGAGACCTTCGTCAGCCTGGTCCGAAAGAACCGGGAGCCCAGGTACCCATGAGGGAGGGAGGGTTCAGTCAGAGGGCAAACGTTTACCGGATCGACCCGTTCTTGGTTTAACAAAACCTAAACTCAGCTGGTTTACATCTTCTAAAACTTTAGAAAGAACAAACAAATCATCAGAATCCACGACAGGAAGTGTGACAACCAAAATCTGCAAACATCCTCCAGAGACATGGGGGGGTTAAAACCCAGTCCTGTTTGGACCTGGACTTCACAGCAGAACCATCATGCAGGGTCAGAGAGTCGGACTGAACACTTTCTACACGGTCACAGCTGAACACAGAACATCTGTCTAAACTTTACAGAACTTCTTTTACTTCCATCAGAACTTCAGTTTCTCTCCTGCTGGAGGTCCGATGGTTCCTCTCAGAGGTCAGAGGTCACACACACTATTGTATCTGACCTCAGCTTGGTCTTCTAAACAGGAAGTGAAAGCACTCTTTAACTTGTCATATCTACCCCATCAAACCCAGTAGAACCAAACAGAACCTGTGATACCATCAGAACCTTCTGCTGCTCACGAGTCAAGAAGTTCTTTTAGTTTTTTGTGTTTTGAGCCTTATTTTTTACTCCGTTTCTGCCTGAAGTGTTGCCCCTCCCCTTTTCATTTGCCTCTAAATTAGGCGGGAATCACCACGGTAACCAGTGACTCAGCAGATTCTGGGTCCCTGGATTTTCCAGTTTGCAGCAGTTTCTGTTTGATTCCATCATGGCCGCCTCCAGACGTCTATCATCTGCTCTTATTCTCTTTTTATTTCGTTGTCTTGTTTTTCTATGGATTTAGATTTCTGTTCTTATTTTATGTTTTTATTTTGTTGACAACATTTTGTTCAGCACTTTGAGGCTTTACGGTAATAATTCTGGACTTGGTTATGATCTGTCATTTTATACTCGGCTGCTGATTCACTTTGATTCCTGTGCAGGTTTCTGGACTACCTGTCAGACCTGTGCGTGTCCAACAACGTGGCCATCCCCGTCACGCAGGAGCTCATCTGTAAATGTGTGCTGGAACCCAAAAACCAGGACATCCTCATCAAAACCGAGTGAGTCGGAGCGACGAGGAGGAGGGGGGCCTTCGTCAGTATCAGTCCAGTTTGATTTCTCTACAAGCTGATATTAAACTTTATTACGTCATCCGTTTTCACCTGTTTGTTTTAATTACGTCATCTGTTTTCACCTGTTTGTTTTAATTACGTCATCTGTTTTCATCTGTTTGTTTTGATTACGTCATCTGTTTTCACCTGTTTGTTTTAATTACGTCATCTGTTTTCACCTGTTTGTTTTAATTACGTCATCTGTTTTCACCTGTTTGTTTTAATTACATCATCTGTTTCACCTGTTTGTTTTAATTACGTAATCCGTTTTCACCTGTTTGTTTTAATTACGTCATCTGTTTTCACCTGTTTGTTTTAATTACGTCATCTGTTTCACCTGTTTGTTTTAATTACGTCATCCGTTTTCACCTGTTTGTTTTAATTATGTCATCTGTTTTCACCTGTTTGTTTTAATTACATCATCTGTTTCACCTGTTTGTTTTAATTACATCATCTGTTTCACCTGTTTGTTTTAATTACGTCATCTGTTTTCACCTGTTTGTTTTAATGACGTCATCCGTTTTCACCTGTTTGTTTTAATTTGGAGCAAAAAGAGACATTTTATTTGTGACTCTTATTTGACGAGCACTTTGTATGTCGCAACGTCCACATTTACAAAACCAGAAGAGAATTATTTCCATTTCCCCTCAACGTTACATGATCAACTCAACCAACAGGGGGCGACAGAGCTGACACCAAAGGCTTTTTAAACCCACGATAATCCCATGTAGATTAGCAGCAGCTCGACACTGTAGCACATTTTGACTGGATTATGTTTTTTAATGACGCTATTTATTTTTTCCAGGCGCCGCGTGTCAAAAGATGCTCACTCTGGTGGCGATCAGGGTGACTACATTGGGATGGACGACTATGGAGACGAAGACGAGGTAGACCCGTCCTTCTCGTCTCTGTGAAACATTCAGGGACATGCTGGGATGTGAACACACCACAACAAACCTTGAACTGGATTTTCTGTCCAACCTTTCTGAAGGATTTGTTGTGTGTGAAGTCGTCACACAAAGAGTAGAGTGATAAGTTGTCTCAAAGGGCACATCGTATTGTGATTAAAGAGATAATCCCACTAAACCAGACTGTCCAAAATGTCTCCAGTGGACACAGAAAGACTCCAAAGAACAGCAGGACAGGGACGTCCAACTGGGACAATATGCACAGACGTTCTCAGAAAGCTCTGTAAAGGAATGTGTTCTCTTCCCTGCAGTGATGAGTGGGTGTTTCTTGGATGAACAGAGTTTCTTGCTCTCTTTGAGCTTTGCTGGTCTCCTGGTTTCAGGTGTGGCTGGTCTGGACTGATAAGACCAACGAGAAACAGGAGAAGAGCATCAGGCAGCTGGCCCAGGAGGCAAGACAAGGAAACGCTCACGATGAGAACGTCCTCACCTACTACAGGTACGTCCGACCTCAGACACCGTCCAGACCCCGCCAGAGTTTTATAAACCGACGCGTTGCGTCTCTGCGGACTCCTCAGGTACCAGCTGAAGCTCTTCGCCCGCATGTGTCTGGACCGTCAGTACCTGGCCATCGATGAGATCTCCAAGCAGCTGGACGTGGAGCTCATCTTCCTCTGCATGATGGACGAGACGCTGCCCTTTGACCTGCGGGCATCTTTCTGTCGCCTCATGCTGCATGCCCACGTGGACCGCGACCCCCAGGAGCTGGTGACCCCTGTCAAGTTCGCTCGCCTGTGGACCGAGATCCCCACTTCCATCACCATCAAAGAGTTGGTGGATTTTAATCCAGCAGAAATTCTCTGACTCAGGCTTCAAATTGTACAGATTAGGCAGGAAGTTTAAAGTCTTTGTAGCGTTGATGTTTAACGAAGAGCGACTTCCTCTCACAGTCCTTCCTGCTGTTTAGTTTATTTACTCAGAATAACTTTATTATCATTGTACTGAGATACAGTGAGATTATCTTTGTACAGTCATCCGAAAGATGGGTGGAGTGCACGTTGCTGCTACAGGAGCGCAGCCCCTTATCCTTTATCAGAATACTTTTTAGATAGAAAAAGGGAAAAGACCATGAGGATGGATAGTGGTATTAC